GGTGTTTCACATTTGGAAGGCCTACCAGCCTGTAACAGTGTACAAAGTCTTTTTGCTCCAAACAAGTGAATTGTGACATGATCTGGCATCTGAGTCTCTTTCTTGAGTTTTCATTGGACAAGAGTTGACTACGCTGCCCTCCAGTGTGGCTGTCTGACTGTACACAAACTGAAAAGCCTCTGTGGGGTATTAGCCGAGGCCTAGAATAGATCCCTGAGGGAGCCTGCAGGTTACACTGGGTGCTGGGAGCTCGAGGGCGTACAGTACAGCATGTACAGCGAGAGTGATGTGGTATGAATTTGTTTCTGAGCTGCTTGTTTAAAGTAGTCAAGGATAGCTGTGAGATCTGAAGATCTCAAAGAGACTAAAATAGCTGTGGTCCAGACATGGAGGGAGCGTGTTGGTAGAGGGGCATCATCGCTGTAGTAGAAGAGCTGTTGTGTAAAGCTGATTCACCCATCCCACAGCTCTGCTGCTTGTGGGAGGAAGCATAATGAGGGCATCTTCTGTTTGCAAGGGGGTGAAAGAGAATTGGGAGGGTGAAGGCATCTCAGAAAATAAAACAGACAATTCGCAAGCCAGGGATTTTCTGAAATCTAACTCACCACAGTTCACTACAGAACCTACACCCAGAACCTGACGAGTTAAAAATGTTTCCTGTACGGCAAACAAATGAAAAAGCCTCACACAGTCACAGTAACGACTGTGCAGCTCTTTGAAATGAATATCTATTCTGATTATACACACACACACACACACACACACACACACACACACACTGAATTATTCATTGGAATCCATGCTGCATTATAATATACTGTCAAATCACATACACAAAACAAGCTTATTATTTGTCAGTCCTCCAAAACCCAGGTATCTCTTTGCACTTTGTATACAAAGTAAAAAAAGATGCAGTTCTTTCATCTGTTGCGATCAGATCAGCAGTTTATAACGTGACACCACAAAGACCATCCTAAGCAATAATTAGTTCAGCGTAGAGAGAGAAAATACCACCGAGCGTGGTCAACTTTTTGTTTATTTCCTGTTTTATTTATTCAGGAGAACATAAGTCAGCAGAACAAAGCAAAGCGAGCTAGTAAAGAGCTCCATTAAAGGGCTGAAAAAGCTTTTGTGTTTGATGGATTAACTCGTGGAGCTAGCTGCAAATGAATGCTCACTAAATTATGGATGCCTTTGTATGTATAGCTGGTAATATGCAATGCTATCTAAAAAAAAAAGTGGTCAGTACTAAGCTGAAACACGGTGTTGACACGGCTTGTAGTAATGGAAATCTATAGTTTGAGGGCTTGTGTCAGTCTTGTGCAGAGAGAACAGCTGAGAAGGGTTTCTTTTTAAGGGAGGTCCTGAAATACGATCACCCAGAGCAGACTGACAGTCCTATAAATATCGTTTTTGTGACCAAAAAATCGGTCCAGACCTGCGGGCTGCACAAATCAAGCGCTAAACTTGAAATCCTTTTTAGAAATCCTGGCTACAGTTTGGATGGTGTTTGCCTCCTGTTATGTATGCTATCCACTTCTCTGACTTAGCATAGCTACATGACCGTGCTCTTTTACATTTCACAGGACTACACGCTGACTATGTACTTCCAGCAGTATTGGAGAGATAAGAGGCTGGCTTATGCAGGGATCCCTCTCAACCTGACACTAGACAACAGAGTAGCAGACCAGCTCTGGGTCCCAGACACCTATTTTCTCAATGACAAGAAGTCCTTTGTGCATGGTGTCACAGTAAAGAACCGGATGATTCGACTTCACCCGGATGGCACTGTTCTCTAAGGCCTCAGGTAAGAACTGCTGTTTAGCTTGACCTTTCAGGGTAGGCTTGTATTCTTTATTCATCAGTTTATACGAGCTTCAGTTTTCTTCCCGTCTTGAAAAACATGTCTCTGTAAGGCCAACATTTAAAGTGGGGCTCCTCAATTGAGGAGAGGCTGGATTTTCAAGTGCAGTAATTCCACCAGATTCTGGGTGTTTTTAACCAAATATTATTTGCAACGGGCCTTTATTTCAGCCACTGTTGAAAAAGGAAAACTGTTGTTTTAACCACAGGAATTTATATTAGCCGGTCAAGTTCTGTTCTCAGCTCTTTGGAGAGTAGCAGTATGACTCCAGCACAGAGCAGAGCTGCATCAGTGACAGCAGATATGACGTTAAGTCACAAACAGCATGAAAAGAAGCAGCTGGGGTGGGTTGTGCAGTGGCTTGCACATGCACCGTATAAGAGATTGGGGATTTGTAGGATTTCAGTGGCTGAACCACTGAGATCAGCTCATATGCTGGGATCAATTTCTTCATGCTGATTCTGTCATGTTTCTAATAATATAAGAATTTGTCAGTTATTTCACATAAGTAACATATTGGCTGTGGACAAAGACTTAGAGGTCATTTTTCTTGTTAATATTAATACATGATAGGCTTCCTCTCATAATATACATAATACTCTCTGCAATTAATTACCAATCCATCTCCGGTGCTTATTGGCTGCATCTGGCTTTTACACCATCGCATAGCTCTCCAAACTGCCCAAGATTCATGAAGTGGCAAAAAGCTTTATTTGTTTTGTTGAAGCAATTTAAGCTGCATTTCAACACAATTTAATGCTAATGCAGGAAGTCGCATCTCATAACTGCTGTCATACGTTTGTGTGGACTAACTCAGAATTGGATTCTCAGTGTAAATGTGCAAGTCTGAAGAGTCTGGAAATGAGAGTGGAAGTAATTGGCAGGAAGTTTGTTTTTCTTCCTTTAATCAATTAATAATAAAAAATGGATGCCATTTGCATCTTCCTCAGATGGAACGCATTTCTCCTAACCATCCTCTGCTCTAACAGCTGTCCTGAATCTAAAACGAGGTCACCTCTCTTTTGTTCCTGTTTTGACTCAGAATCACGACGACGGCGGCCTGCATGATGGATCTGAGGCGATACCCGCTGGACGAGCAGAATTGCACTCTGGAAATTGAGAGTTGTAAGTTTAAGCCCTGCATCTTGTGCTTTGTAAAGAAATACAGCAGACAGCCCGACTTTTTTCATCACTTAAAAATATGAACAGCGCCGTAATTCTCATAAAAAATGTTCAGTCATCGGGTGGAGACAAAAACTGCACAGGCTGCTGAATTGCTCTGGATTTATTAATCTGTCATATCCCAGTGAGATTGCTCGCTGCACCCTCTCCAGTTAAACGACTTCGTCTGCACGGAGAGGTTCTGAGCTGAGCAGACAGTGATTTCCATAGTGGAGCACCGTAATGATTAGTCCAGCTTCATCAGTCTAGATGACGTGTTCGGCTGTCCGTGCTGCCATAAAACTGTTGCCGGTCATGGATCTCATGCATTTGGTATCAGCCTGTCTGTCTGCACTGACACACATCCCCATGAAGATTCACATCTCATGCAATCAGCACTTACAGGATCTGTGTGATTCATGAGACTTACTCTAAATCAGTTACAGCTACCGGGCGTCCTGATTTCTCTTAAGGATATAAAAATACTTCCAGTGAAATGAGACAGATTCACTTTTCAGAGCTTTTCCGCTGTTAAGGACACATCATGTGACTTCTTTTCTTGCAGATGGTTACACAACAGATGATATAGAGTTTTACTGGAAAGGAGGAGAAACTGCTGTGACCGGGGTAAAACGCATTGAGCTCCCTCAGTTCTCCATAGTGGACTACAAACTGGTTTCCAGGAATGTAGTCTTCTCCACAGGCAAGTTATGGCACTCACATTTTTAATGTTTCTTCTTGAATCCATGAAAGAACATTTTAGAGGGTGCATGCTCGCGTTCAGATCTGTTGTCCCTGATTATAGTGTTAAATAACCTCAGTGAAAATAGCTTATAACTGAGATAAAAACACCTTGCCTTGTATTAAGAGTTTGGCACAACGTGTGCTCAGCAAACAATGTAAAAGCAGCACGTCTCACACACCTCCATCAAGATGCATTCAGATGCATTCTTGCACTTCATCCAATAATCAGTGATCCCAGATTAAAACAGAAGAATAAGACTTTAAAACATGTGCAGCGTCACAGATGAATCTGTCACCTGAACTGCAGAGATGTAAGACTCTGCCGAGGTTGTGTTCTGTTACCTGTCGTCAATCTTGAGACGTCCCAGTATATTAATTCATGACTGGCTGTTTTTACGGTACATTCTATAAAACTGCTGCCTTAAAACTAGATGGAGCTGCACGCTGCTGCAGAAGGACTGCTTGCTTCCTCCCATAGGTGGAAGTGGGCGTTTGCAGGTTCTGGACGCCTCATGTACTAAAAGTTCTGCTGCCTACTAAACACATACCTGTTTAAAATAATCCTCCGGTTTGTAACTCAGGCTGAAGACACACAGAGTGCAGGTTGAGAATTTGGAACTAAACTAAGTCTGACATGAGAATGTCTGCAATCTCCCATGATGCATTTGATTGCACTTAGACAAGAACCTGGACTGTCTATTTAGTTCAAACATGCCTGTAAAGGTACAGTGGGTGAAGGGTCTTAGTGCTACTAATGGGCCTAAAAAAGTAGAAAATAACCTGCTTTTTGTGGTGTTGACTCACTTTTCTTTTTATGTATCTGAGCCGAGTCAGGATGATAAACTGTCCTTCATGCAATGACCAGATCTGTTAAACTTTATATTCCCATTGCTTGAAATTAAGAGATGCACTGAGCTTCCTTAAGTGCAATATTTGCATCATACCTCCATTTTGTTCTTGATGCTGTTGATAAAGAATGGGGGCTGTTGCATACAGCAAAATAATGCATTCATGAGGCAGAGTGCTGGCAGCATGAATTATTCTCCTATAATACAACAACAACTCAGAGGCATCAAAACAGTGATTATCCTCACTGCTGAATTAATGACATGTAGGATGGCTACTGTCCGAGCATTTCTATACAGATAATCTAGAGAAACCTATTAGAGCTCATTAGGATCACTGTCACATTCGGATACAATAAACTCTAATAAATGGAGTGTCTGCAGATGCTTTTAACTTCTTCTCAACATCCTCTCATTGTGTGTGTGTGCCTGTGTGTGCCTGTGTGTGTGCGCGCGCGCGCGCGCGCGCGTGTGTGTGTTTTAAATTCTCATTATCTGTACATATACACATATACACTAATTTTTTATCTCTGTCTAGGTTTTGAGATATTTAAAAATTAATATACATATAACCTTTTAAGAATGTGCACACATATTAGCACATAACTTTTACCCCTCAGCCGTAAAAGGCTGATGGGGTATTGTTGTGGGGGACATGGACCAATAGGTTTGTGAATGCAATAAGTTGAGAACGTGGCAATGTAGGATTTTCAAATAGGTGCATGTACTAAAAATCTTGGATAAGTCTGAATCTCAGTGATGACCTCAAGGTCAGAGGTTATGTTTTCTGAAAATCTTGTGATCGGGATCACTTGAGAACAAGGCGATGTAGAATTTTGAAATCGATACCAGAGGTGTGTCTGTCTTGATGCATGCTCAGTTATCCAGATAAATTCCCCAACTCCCTGTGAATGGTACTCACGGCCATTAATCAGTTGTCATTGATCAATGGTCTTAAATCAGTGCTTGTTGATTGATCGTCATGACAATTTACATATTAATGATCTAGAAACCGACTTCACAGCCCGTTGTTCGTCAGTGGTGCTAGTTCAGTCATTATGCAAATATACTGTTTATAAGGTGTGGGAAACCTGCAGTCAGCTGAGACCGAAGAAGTCACTTGGATGAGTGACGAAATGTTTCTCCTGCTGAAAATGCAACGTCCAGATGAACAGAATCAACTTTTTGGCATAAGTCTGTCTACTAGGAGCCTTTACATTTACAAAGTTTTGTGCACATTCTCAGATACTTATTTTGTTATAAAACTAAACAGAATCAATCGTGGCGAGAAAAGTATCCTGGTATCAAAATGAAGGGAAAAAAAAGGAGACTTTATTTTAAGCAGCCATGGTGATATGCGCCTTGAGAGTTTACCCAGAATGCACTTTTTGTCGCTTACTCCATGAATTACTGGAAATGTATCAAACATCCAAGGTCACCAATACTTGTCTCGGTCCCTCTACATCGAGGACACCAAACTTTTGTAGTTTCTTTAAACTATGACAGATCCCAAAATATCGATGCTCACAGTTGGTTATAGAACAAAATCATACTGAACAGCAGCAAAAGATTTTGTCTTCATGTTGTGACACGTGGAGTGCATGTAGAATTGCAGTTTTTAACAGCTTAAATGTGTTTAAGCTGTTAAAATGTGGATATGTCCGAGTACTTATGAAGTTTGGAGGGCTCGAAAATGCTGGGAGAAATAACAAATTAAAAAGCTCCAAACTTCAACCCACCCCAGCCCCCTGAAGCGTCTGTAACTCTGAAAATATTTATGGTGTGAAGGTAACATTTTGTGTGGCTTCGTTAAATATACTGACGCTACTGTACAATAAATGAGCAGACTGCGAGGAGGTCTACTCGAAACCTCTTAGATGTGACTGATTTCATATTCTTATTTCACATTTTTGCATATTTTTCACACTGAAATGTTTCAGATTATCAAAAAAAAGAATATTAGTCAAAAATAAGCAGACAGAAAACGTAGTTAATGAATGGCAGCTATTAGGTTTAAGGGCCACTTAGTTTTTACTTGGTCCAGGTAGGTTTAGATAGCTTTTGTTCCCTTAATCTTAGACAAAGATTAAGGGAACAAACTAAGAAACTGAGTACTTTATATTTAAATATACATTCATAGGGACTTGTAAATAATGACAACTACTTTTACTCATGAACAGTTTTCATCAATTCTGATATTATATGAAATTCTTAATGGAAACATGCAAACTATTCTCTAATAAGTCCTTTTTCACTCATGCACTGCAACCCTGAGATTTTCATGATACTACCTGGTTGAGCTGTATGTGAAAACCTAAATGTCTAAGTTGGAGCAGATATTAAATGTCTTTAATTTGCCAGATCCCAAGTATAAAGTCTAAGGGTTGGTATATTTTTTCCTGCTTGTAACGTTCCTGAGCAAGTGGGCTTCACGTGTCCTGTCTCCGGCACCCTTTTCCCCAAAGTTTTGTTTGTTTGCATCATGCGAGAATGTGGACAGTGTCTCGTTTCTGCCTGCAGTTCACGTGTAAATACAGTTGATGAGCTCATCACCACAGAAACCAAATCAAAGGGGAAGGCATCCCCATGTTTCTCCTGAATTATAGAGGCCTGATTTTTACCTGGTGTGTTGTCCTGCAGGTGCCTACCCTCGACTGTCTCTGAGCTTCAAGCTGAAGCGAAACATCGGATACTTCATCCTGCAGACGTACATGCCCTCCATCCTCATCACCATCTTGTCCTGGGTGTCGTTCTGGATAAATTATGACGCCTCAGCTGCCAGAGTTGCATTAGGTATGATTTTTCCAATGCAGTGAGTTGACCTCTGGACTGTAGTTTAATCTACACGCACTCTGTTTTCTAAGACTTGTGAACAGTGACCGGCTCTGTGCCAAAGCCGGAAACCAGAAAGTAACACTAAACTGTGACATTATCAAAGTGGCGATTCTGTAATTAGAGGATGGATTTGTGACTGGTTACTTACAGTTATTTTACATCAACATTATGCATTCAGTATCCATCCGTCTGACTTATAAATGTGTCAAATGTAGGACCAGATGAATCTTGACCGTGAAAATATTGAAAGAATTGGCTTGTGTGGGAATGAAAAATTGGTTTGTTTAAAGAATATTTATGTAAAAGAAAGCATTCACAAAGATTCTGTAGTAGCACTAACAAAGAAGAATAGTCCTGGTGAGACATTATGCATTCAAAACTAAACTGGTGAGTTCCTCCCACGTGTCACATTTGAACAGATAAACAACAGATTCAAGAAGAACAAATAATCACAGCTGTGCGTTTCCTTCAGTCTGTTTGAAGCCTCTGCATTGTGGTGTAATAGGAGACTCAACTGGATCTCAAGACTCACACTTTCCACTGGCTTCTAGGGCTGAAACCGTTCACCGTTGTATAACACCATACCTCCCTAACTGCATTGATCGCTGCTAGAATATTTCCCTTAATGGAAATCCTCAATCAGCTTTGGTGCACTCTCAGTCAAGTCCGCGTAAGGAAGAGCACATTAACGTACCAATAATAAAATCTCACTTGAGCATACGCTGTGATTAGATGAATGTAGTACATCTTAGGAAGTCTGGTGGGAAGCTGGATTTGGAAGCCCCTGTGCTGGCTCAGACCTCGTCATTTAACGCACGAGTCGGCTCACTCCGCCGTAACGCCTCCTCGTTGAGAAGACTGCTGTCTGGGACGCTGTCAGATCAATGCAAGTTAGAAAGCATCCCTACTCCTGTGCTTTACAAAATCAATCAGCGGTGATTCATTACAGGTCTCCATTCTCTTTGGTGGGTGGTGTGAATATCCTGAGCAAAACCAAATTAGCTGGGCTACTTAACAGGCTTCATACATGAGGAGCGGAAAAACATGTCTGAAGCGTATGGACTTTTATGAATCATTCAGAAAGGTGTAGTAAAATATATATACTTTTAATGCAAAAAAAATATGCACATCCCAGAAGGATATACACTTTTTTTTTTAAATTTTCTCAAACAGTCCAGATCATTTGAAAAATGGTTTAAAAAAAAATCATATTTTGCATGGTTGGATCTTAACAAGGTTCCAAGTAGAGCTTCAAAATGCAACAAGAAGAAATGGGAGTGAAACAAAAAAAAATTTGAGCATGCAATTTATTGAAAACAACGCTTAAACTGAAACAGGCTGTTTTACAGCTGATTAAATGTTTAGGACCACACCTCCAAAAAAAAACCCCGTAAACCCCCCAAAACAGAAATCAAAGTTCCAAACAGGATCTCAGTAATGAGTAGCTCCACCGTTACTGTTGACCACTTCAAAAATCTGTTGCGGCATGCTTGATGTGAGCGTTTCCACAAAGTGAGTGGAAACATTTCTGGAAGTGGTGAAGACGGCCGCACGAAGGACATCTACTGTCTGGAACTCCATTGTCCATTTTTGTAAACTTCTCCATCCCTAAAGGTTCTTAATGGGATTTAGATCTGAGGGCGTTGTGTACTGTTGAAAAGCCCAGGCGTTACCACACAGACAATGACCCTCACTCATTAGGGATGCTCTCTTCAACATCTGGACATAGCCAGTGGCCATTTGACGCCCCTGCACCTCCTGAAGCTCCACTGAAAGAAAAAGCACACCAGACCATTATGGCGCCCCCTCCACTGTGGCACGTAAAAACATCTCAGGTGGGATCTCCCTTTCATACCAGTTACGTTGGAAACCATCAAGACCATCAAGGTTACGTTTTTTCTCATCAGACAATAAAACTTTCTTCCACCTTTCGATGTCCCATGTTTGATGCTCTCTTGCAAAGTCCAAATGGTCAGTTCTGTGGCGTTTAAGGAGATGAGGCCTTTGAAGACGTATTTTGTTTTTGAAGCCCTTCAGTCTCAGATGCCGTTTGATGGTTATGGGGCTGCAGTCGGCACCAGTAATGGCCTTAATTTGGGTTGAGGATTGTCCAGTACTTAACGGACAGCCAATTAGATCCTCTGGCTCAGTGCTGATGAAATTTAGACTTTTTGTTCCATCACCCTCAGGATCATTTAAGCAATTCCAAATGACTGTCTTACTGTGTCCTACCTCAGCAGCGATGCCGCACTGCCAGAGACCCTACTTATGCAGTTCAACAACCCGACCATGTTCAAAAAAGGAAACATTTTCTTGCCTTTGTGAACAGAACATCATGACTGTGTTACTACATGTCAGAAAATGACAATGAATCCACATTTTTGCACAGATTTGGCTTTTTAAAGGCATGTGGTGCTAAACTTTTGATCAACTGTAAAACAGCATGTTGCAGTTGAAGCGTTGTTTTCAATAAATTGCATGCTCAAAAAGATGTTGTGTCTCACTCCCATTTCTTCTTGTTGCATGTTGAAGCTCTACTTGGAACCTTGTTAAGATCCAAACATGCAAAATATGACTTTTTGCCATTTTTCAAGGGATCTTAAACGTTTGATCGGGTCTGTATTAGCCAGTTTTCTTGGATTTAACACCAGAACTAGAGCTCAGTTGAGCAAACACAGGATTTTAAAATCATCTGTTCAAATTACACTCCTGTTTTGCCACATTTTATAGTTTATTAGGGGCAGGTGCCATCTTGAGGAGTCCAGTGATATTTTTTTTTCACCATTACTTTCCTACCCCTGTGACATGAACAATAGTGTACAGCAAGTGTTATCATCTTGTATGATTATCACTTCTTATTTTGTCCATCTACTTTTACCTGCTGTGTTCTCAGGGACAGCACTGCGCAGTATTTCAAGGGGTTTGTTGAGTAACCATCTCCTCTGAGCTCTCAGAGTGTTCAGAATCTTGCTCGTCCCTTTGTTATGCAGAAATCGATGCCATGTACCCACTGGCGCTCTTGACTCCCCCACACACTCCATACAGTGCAACATTTTTTGTTTTAATTATGTAAGCCTGAATCGACAGAAATAGACACACCGTCCAGGTCGGTGAGCCTTCATGGAGACACAGAAACAACACAGGAGCATTACTGTAGATGGCGCAAACTACTGAGAGAGTTTACAGTGTGTTTGTTGAGTCTGTTTGCTTGTCATGTGAGTTGTAATTCATCCAAGTTCAGAATATTCAGCATCACCCAAACAGACGACTTTTAGCTTTTCAGAAAACAAAAAATTGGGTTCATGGTATTCTTCTGGATATGGTCATTTTAGAGATCGATTCTCAGCCCTCCTTTAGTACTGTGGAAACAGATTTTTTTTTTCTTCCAGGGATCACCACTGTGCTGACCATGACAACCATCAACACCCATTTGAGGGAGACGTTGCCCAAAATCCCCTACGTCAAAGCCATAGACATGTACCTGATGGGCTGCTTCGTGTTCGTCTTCCTGGCTCTGCTGGAATATGCCTTCGTCAACTACATCTTCTTTGGCCGAGGTCCTCAGATGCAGAAAAAGCTGGCCGAAAGGGCGCAGAAGGCAAATAATGACCGCAGTAAATTTGACAGGCCCAAGGTGAGAATTATTTCCAAACATCAAGAAGGTTCATATAAAACAACTGCAGTGTTTCTTTTAACAAGCGAGGCTGAAATTTAACAACTTTTAGTGCTTATAGCTGTTAAATCAACCATGTGGAGCAATTCTCCTTGGACATCACACAAATATACACGAATTAGCCGTTACATTAAAAGCGCTGCTGGGAAATGTCACCATGCAGCATTGTTACAATAATGATAATGAACATTATTGCAGTAATTCATCTGTAGTCATTATGTTTTGGCTCTTCGATGCCGAGATGCAGCGTTATCGTGGTTCAGGTTGTTGTTTTTGTGGATTCCATTTCAAGCAGTGATTTATTTAAGTAGGCGTCATCACTCACATCATCTGAAAGTTACCTATTTAACTGTGTGGGAGTATCTCTAGCTGCTAACTGCAATAAGAAGACCAGTCGTACAGCAGTTTGTGTGAAAAGAATCCGAATTCTGTCTTGATCTTTGACTCCAGTAAACATTTTTACAGTCTTAATTCTCAGGTCAAGTTTTCCTTGAAACTCTGTATTCGAACTGGAACATGTAGAGGATTAATCAGGGTGCGCTTTAGGATGTGTCTGCCTTGTTACTGATTGGTCACAAACCAGTGGCCATGCGTTCAGATCCACCCCTAGCAGTACTGTAGGGGTGGATCCCTACAGATTCCCACCTGAACATTGAGAGTCTTTTGTGCACATTTAGCTTTAGCATATTTAATGAAACCATATATCTCATACTATGAATGTATTCAGACTTTAAGCTCCTCAGAGATTTTACACCATTTTCCTCACAATTTCATTAATTCAGACATTTTCACCCAAATCAGCTCTAAGAGTCACAGTACAAAGCCAAAACCTCAGCTTTAGTAGAAACAAGCACTGGGGTTGATAACTCAAAAACTGCATTCTGGCTTAACACCATGGCTTTCAATAGTCTGTGGAATTTTTGGCTGATCAGAACAATTTACACCATGAAAGATCTCCTTTTTTCCTACATTTGATGCCAGGATGATTGTCAAATCAAGGATAACGATGAGCCGATTCTGAGGGATAAGATGGGAGACAGTGATTTTTAATGTGACTGGATCAATACATCCTACAGATGTTTTTTTTTAAATTAATCATCAGTCACAGCTTTAACCAGTCCACACTGCGTGACTTTCTGACTCCTGACTCCGATGTTCTGTGAGCATCTTAGGTGACCGAATCTCAGACAAAAGGGTTTGTGTTTGTCTTTTTCCTGGCTAGTCCTTTCTGGAAGGAGGCAATTGCAAGTCTTCGTCTCTTAAACTGTCCAATCAGGTACAAGGGCGTCGTCACTCACGACGGGTGAGTGTCTGTCACTGCCTGTTGTGTTACATCTGTGAAACCTCTGGCTGAAACTTTGCTGCTGCAGTGCAAAGTTTGACCTCATTTAACAAAGTAACACGTCATCACAACCATTTCTCTAAACATCTCACCGTACGAGTACATTCTGCTTAGCCCGCCTTTCCCACTGTCGTATTTTTGCCCTTTTTTAATGTCTTTATATGTCTGTGTTGCTAACATGCTATCCAGTAAGTGCAATCAAACCATTCCAACCATCATTAATGTCATTAGGTGAATACCTTTACACTGCACTAATTCGGTGGCGCATAGAAAACATGAAAAATCATGAGTTACATTTTAAATCAGTTTACAGGATTTAGCAGTCAGGCGTATCCTTGTTGTCCTGTGGTCTATTTGACCATGAATCATGTAGAAATATTTCTTTTTTTGGTTAAGAATTGTATGAGGACTAGAGAGAGTTTTTATCCACTCTCTGCAGTTTGTTAAAAGAGTCCGTGTAACACAGACCTGAGCTCATTTTTAGACACAGTGTATGTCAGGTCCGAGGTTGATCTGTAAAACCACAGCCAAAAAAACAAGACAAATATTCACTTTTTCACCTCCTCTCATGCCTTGTGGTCACCTTTTTATATCTGTGTTCCTCCTGTGCCTCAACTGGTCTGAATGATATATCTGTTTTTGTGCGGGAAGCAATAGTTGTCACTACATTAGTATTAAAGCCGGCCGGTCCAACCTTGAGCTGATTTGTGAGAAGACGTTTAATTTTGGGACAGAAAAACCTGCCTTTGAAGGTCGCTCTGGTTCCCAGGCTGTAAACTGTCAGCCTGCGAGAGGAGACCGACCCCGGGGAACCGACGCGTGCTGCACATGTGTCGTCAGTCGCTGTAGCCTGTTTTAAACATCGCTGCTGTTTGTCGGTCCTAGGTCGACTCCCAGGGGAACATTTTGCTGACAACCTTGGAGATCCACAACGAGGTGGGAGGGAACGAGATAACAACCAGTCTGAGCGAGACCCACAACTCGTCCTCCATGGTCTTCGACAACTCAGCTATCCAGTACAGAAAGCCAAGCGGGTCACGCGAGTCGGTCCGCCACAGCCTGGACAGGAACGCACATCTTAAGAAAACCCGTCTACAAAGACGGTCCTCGCAGCTCAAAATCAAAATCCCAGACCTCACTGATGTGAATGCCATCGACAGATGGTCACGGATTATATTCCCCTCTGCCTTCTCCCTCTTCAACCTCATCTACTGGCTTTATTATGTTCATTAATGCACAGTGTTTTTTTTAAGCCCATGTGATTCTGGTTTATGACTGAGAGAAGCCTTGTGTGGCCGACCCGACACGGCAACGTCCTGAACGCTTTTTTAACATGATATGTGCAGAAAGAATCATGCACAGCCACAAGGATTTACCTGCAGAACATGCATCTTACAAAGACTTGCATGTGAAGTCAGCCCTGTGATCACCTGCGACTCTATCACACAAACTGAAACACACTTTTGCAGCACTGCATCTCCAAAAGATGATTTAAGTTGGTTTCGATGAGCTGCTGAAACCTTCCCCTATAATTTCAGTATAACATGTGGCCACACTATTAAATTTGATCGTAAAGGTTTGTAGTATTATGACAGCGCTAGCCTTCCTTATATCTGCACATGGACAAAGGCGGACCTGTAAGATCCCATGCACCCAGACTAAACAGATTTTGCCCAGGCGGGAAATTATTTGGTATGAAATCAGCCATAAAGGAATAGTTGTGATATTTTGGGAAATGTGATATTACAAAAGCCAAGTTGAGATAAAAATGACATTAAAACAATAAGGCTGCATCCAGTTTTGTTATTTTTCACGATGCCCTTTGTTTGTCGTATTATATACATCCAGCATACCCCTTTTCCTTACAATTGTGCACTTTTGTTTCTCCCAAAATGCCAAAGCTCGTTAAGTGTTTAGTTCCAGTTGCTTCAAGACGATAGAAACAGAGTCTGTGGTCAACAAGCTCAATCTATAAGTTGTACCAAGGTTACAGGAGCTGGACCGTGTGTTGTTGTCCCTGTGCCGTGTGTTCAAATGTTCCGTAGACTTGAGATCATTTGGTTTCAGTTCAAATTGTATTTAAATTTAATGGAAATACTACTTTCTTAAAAAGTTCAGTAGGTTTTTACTGATCCTACTGACCAAAATCTTTGTTAGCATTTCTGCTAATCAAATAGTTTAATGCTATGCTCATTTCTATCCTGTAAGTTCTTGTTGATGATGGAAAGTAACTATAACACGTTACTCTATGATATCAAAACAGAGCCATGTCTTTGCAGTCGGTAACAATAATGACCTTCCTGACACAACATGTAGTATTTCTGTAAAAGTAGAGTTAGGATTATCGCATGTCATTGATGATGACTCAGAAAGTTGAGTATAAATACCAATATCCAATCAACTTAGCTTAATTTTCAGAACCCAATTTTAAACAACAGGAATAGAACCAGTACTGCATTTTAGAAATAACTTTATTCTCTCATTTAGTGCCATGAATGAAAGATTTTTAAAAGGTTGGAAGAGCTAGCCCTAATCGTATTTCTGATGCTAACACATCATGCCACTTCAACCACTGCAATAAAATTGTCATTTTAACATTTTTGTGTGAACAAATTAGGTCATGAGTGATGTTTTGTGTTACTCTGTGGGCTTTTGAGGCTAGTACATGGATTATTTTCATATTTGTTCAAAGCAATGCTAGCAATTTACCGCTAAGCTAGGCTAATCCTCTAAAGAAAATGCAAAAATAAAAGGACTTCCCAAAATATCAAACTATTTTATCAACGTGTGCATTTACACATTTTCAAAATGCCATATTTCCGACAAAAACTGGAGAGATTGTGTGACCTTAGTACAAAGGTTTCCAGGCTTTTGTAGTGAATTTTTTATCGAGGAATGTATTAGAACAGTTTACATCGTCCCACTATTTTTGTCACGTTGCTTTCTGTTGATTTTGTGAAACACGTACATAATACAGCACAATCCATAACTTCCTTGTTTGTTTCAGACTGCATGTTGTACTGAGGACTGAGTCGTGGCTGCAGATCCCGACCCTCTGGGGATTTGATGTACATACTGTAACTGTGCACATTTTCTCTCAGCTCACAGTAATTACATGGCTATGTTGTCAACGGTGTTTTGCTCAGTGATTTCTGGCCTCGCTGTTCTGTTTTTGTTAGTCTTTACACAAACTTATCATTTCCTTTTTGTGACAGTAAATATAAAAACACAATATCAGTTCGTTATCATTTCCATTCTTTCCTAAAGGTAGAGCATGTGAAGTCCTGTTAAGTGAAGGAGGAACTGATGGGAGGTGTGTAGCGTCTCCTAAACAACCATTCCTGCCAGACATAGCTTACAACATGCCATCTGACTGCTTGCTTGAGCAACTCGCAGCGCGTGGGAGTGACACCACCTGTCAGTAATCCTCGCAGCTCGGTGACATCCATGCGCGCCGGCCTCACGGAGCCCAAAATCAAGAACGAATCGCACATAACGAACGCTTTCTCAATGGGCTTCGCATTTTTTTTTAAACACTTTGCTTGATGATCTGTTTCTGCAGACACTGCAGCTTTTTCCATGAAGTGCTCCACCTTCAAAGTCTTAATGGGTCAGGAAGATCAGGGCAGGAAATGGTACATATTTTTGGCATTTGCTAAATAAATCAGAACATTTTAATTCATAATTTTTGGTCCGAGCACTATAAATATCCCTGCTACGCAAACACTTCGGCTTTGCTGCCAGGATTAACCCTTGCAATTACATTACAGACATTATAATATAGATTTTATATCTTTTTATCTCTCTCAAGGATATCCATTCCTTTTTAACCATCCATCTACTATGAATGGAAAGATCAATACATATCTGGAGAGATATAAGTAGATTTTTGTGTTGTCTTTTTCCATCTTTGAGAGATGGATAAAAGCATCTGTGTGGATATCTGTCTGTCTGTGCCATGAACAGAAGGTATTTTTAGCCATCCTTCTATATTGTACTCTGTTGAAATTTTACCTTTGTGTCCAATATGTGAGCCCAAGTAAGAGTAAATACACCTCAGCGATCATTATTGACAAGACACTGTGCCAAAAAATGAAAACTTAATTGTATTCATGCATATGCATATTTATGCAAATATCATGGTACACTGTGGTCGACTTTGCCTGCCGTATAGTTTTTCCTCAAGCTTAGCTAACAACTGAATTATAATAGCGTTCCCACCTTAAATAAATTAGTGACGTTTTCTTGGAAATTAGGAACATATGTTTTCATTAAATGTTTTTTAATAAGTTACTGTTACATGTGTGATGAAAGTAACAGTGTACTCATTGTTGTCACATTTAGACATTTAAGTTTAAATATTATATTGAATATTGTACTCATAAATATACACTGATTAGTGTTTAATTACATCTTTCAACAAATTGATGCCTTCTCACAAACTGAGAATTAATCCATTAAACATAAATACGAGCGGAAGCTGGTTTGTGGAAGTCGTCACATGGCCCTGCCATCTTGAATACAGTAGCCGAGGTGGACATCACAGTTCCACTTGATCACGTTTTATGTATCGCTGGAGATCGAACACATACGTAAGAACGGAGAAGAGAACGCGAAGGCATTCTTGTGCTTTAGAACCAAATTTTAATTCATATCAGCAAGATATGAGAAGAAGAAGAAGAAGACTAACTCGGTCACGGCATCAACCGTCCCCTTTTCTCAGATTAGCAAACAAGCAAGCAATTTATTCATATAACACTTTCAGAAACAAAGTGCTGTACACTTGACAAACAAAAAATGATAAGCATATTAAATTACATTTTAAAAGGCGGGGAGGGGGCTGTCTAATGTGCAGGGGCAGGTTATTCTGAGTTCCCTCTTGGACCCGGGTACCTCCAGGAGCAGCTTGTCAGCTGACCTGAGAAACCAGGGGGCCAGGGGGAAACAAACATACGAATTTTAAAATGACCTCTAAGATATGCAGGCAGCCAATGTGGTGAAGCCAGGATGGAAGTTATGTGCTCTCGTTTGCGAGTTTCTGTTAAAAGTCATGCAGCAGCATTTTGAACCATTAGCAACAGTACAACAAGTAAAGAGCAGTGTGCTTGGAGTTTAACCCCTTTTGGCAAGCTTATTTTCTCGAAGTATAATGTAAGTTTCAAATATGTGTGTGTTTACATTTCTTGCTCAGTGCAGCCAACATGATTTAATGACTTGGATAAAAGCTGCCAGTTATTAGACTGTTAATGGTTAAAACTTTTCTGGATGAATGTGTGGAGGCTCGTTCTAGCCATAAAGCCTAGCTGTCCTCACCACTGTAACCCTTATATTTGTGCCATCTGAGAGTGAAAGGTGGACAGATCTGAAACCTGTTTTGCTAAAGATGATGTAGTGACTTAAGTTTGGTCCTGCAGGTGTTACAGCAGGTAAAATCCATGCAAATAATGAGAGAATTGATTATTTCTGATACAAAGTTAACTCTCAGTGGCCTGAGAGGTCAAACACAGTGCAAGAAAAGTCCAGAGGTGACTAAAGCAAACATGTAACTACAGAATGATATGAATCATGTGGTTTCTTTTTTAATCCCTCTCAGCAACAATGAATCCTCCATTTATGTTCAGTCACATTATTGTCTCCCTGTTCAGCTCTGTGGCGACGCCTGGACACAGATTTAGGGTTAAAAGGGTTAAAAAGGATGTTTTATTTAAAGTATTTCTTTGAGTCAATTTTGGGGATTGTAGACAGGCGATTGTCACAGGTTTCTTTTTCCCTTCCAAAATTCTCCTAAATGAGTTTTCTCTTGACGGCAGCAGGTGTCTGAACGAAGGCGCCCATGGTGAGTAAACCAGACTGTGCCTACTGCAAGATCCACACATGTTTACCGCATGCGGTGCAACATTCCGGCATTGATTGGATGGAAACACAAGCGTCTTATAGTGGAGGCCCAATCAGGTCAACAGTGTGCAGGTGCGTAATTAGGAATGTCTTCCAGGTGCGTGATTAGCAGGGCAGAGATCCCTAGAAAAAAGTGCAACAAAAGTGTGCACACACACTCTCACTCACTCAGACAGGGAAGAGAAAAAATGGTAAATGGCCTGTATTTGTATAGCGCTTTTCTGGTCCCTAAGGACCCCAAAGCACTTTAACAACCAGTCATCCACCCATTCACACACTGGTGATGGCAAGCTATATTGTAGCCACAGCCACCCTGGGGCGCACTGACAGAGGCGAGGCTGCCGGACACTGGCGCCACCGGGCCCTCTGACCACCACCAGTAGGCAATGAGTGAAGTGTCTTGCCCAAGGACACAACGACCGAGACTGTCCAAGCTGGCGCTCGAACCGGCAACCTTCCAATTACAAGGCAAATTCCCAACTCTTGAGCCACGAAGGGAAGGTGAGTCTGTCCAGGAGGACAAGGAGACCATGACACTCCACTAAATCACTTCCATTGTGTTTTGTGAGCTTTTGTTTTTTTAAACTGCTTATGTTGTTTGTTTTTGTTTCTTCTTTCCACTTCTTTTGTGTTTTGTGAACTAGCAGCATTTTTCTGTTAGCTGGTGTTTTCTTAGGTTGATGTTCTTTCTGGGCCACCGTACAATGAAGCTCGTTGTAGCCACGTTGGCTGGCTAATTGACTATGTGCACGTTAGCATATGCTACTTCCGGTGCAGAAACTCCTGTGGGGAGCTTTGTTTCCGGTGTCCTATTCGCGCCTTGTTTACGGTCCAAAACAAGTTAATCAAATGAATGAATCAAGCGGCGATTTACATTTCTATAGATGTCTCGGGCATTTACCCAATATATCTGTAAATGATGTTCATCGACTTGTCGATATTTTTTCCCCGGTGCCTCAGAACAAAAGAGAAAAGGGATTCAGATGTTATATTTCTCAGCTGTCCCTCATTTATTGCGGCTGTTATGTTCTAAAAATAACCAGCGATAGGTGAAATCAAGTAGCCAATTTTATTATTTGACGGTGCAAAACGTTTCGTGGACATTGTGGACATACAGCACTGCACTTCAGAGTCACACTGCTAGCGATCGATGCAGCGATTCTGTACTGTACAGGAGAGACGTCACGAAGGAGATCGTCTGCAGCGATCAGGACGCAGGACACAATGTGACATAAAAAAAATAAGCATGCAAACTTGCACTAAAAAATCTGCTAAACAGCGAGGTGAAAGGTGAACCGCGTTATAGCGAGGGACCGCTGTAATTTTGAAGGTAAGTCACAACATACCCTTCCTACATACAAATGTATAGAAACCCTTACCAGCAATCGTTCATTTTTTGTGTGGCTTTTTTTCACGGTTTGTTAACATGCTGTGTAGGTGTGTACTTGACTAGCTGATATGGACATAATGGGGAAACATCTTTAAACGTCAAAATTGATCATTAGATTTTTTATGACACAACAGTGGTGAGTGTTCCCACCTCCTGCTCTTTGTAACTTAACTCGATCTTTCCGTTTTCGAGTTTTGGACATGATTTTGGAGTAAATCTTCGCAGTAGCGATTGACCGCAAAGTAAAGCTACCGGAAATGTACAACCCCACATCCGGTCTCAAACCAGGAAGTTAGCATTTTCTCGTGCACAGGGTCAATTAACCGTCATATTTGCTCTTATATATTACTTATGTATTTACTATTGTATATACATTTGGATGTAGATTAATTGACCGAAGTACAACATCTGCGTTTAAAGAAGTGAAATATTACAAACTACTGTAAAACTGAAATTGGTATTTTTAAAGTGTTTGAAATTGAGAGCATTTTACCAGGTAATGTATTGTGCTTCATCAACCTGTCAATATCTGTTAGCCATACTGTTTTAATGGATGGTCTCAAGTACCTACGTCATGTTTTTGTTTTTTTGTTGTTTTTTTTTTTACATCATGTTTAGGCTATTAATAATTTATGCTTGGACTTAAAATGTGATTGTAACTATATTTAAGTCTGCACAGTCTCTTGAAATGGTTTTTAAACGATAACATGACCTGGCAAACCTTTTTGTCCATTTGGACATCATCTAAAAATGATGTTAGCAAAAAAATGGCAAGTTGTGTAGAGCGCTTTGAGTGCCCAGAGTAGAAAAGAGCTGCATATGAACCAACTGATTTACCATTAGTCGTTTAAAATATTAAAGACCGTTCAGAATTACTCAATATTTTAAACATTAAGTACTTAGAGTTTTTATTTTGTCATGTAAACTTGCAAGCATG